TTGTATGTGTGTGCGTACGCGTGTGTGTGTGTCCGTGTTTGCGTGCCTGCAAGCATGTGTGCGTGCGTGCAGGCGCGCACGCACGCAGCTGCGAAGCTGCGCAGCAGTGCGTGCGTGCATGCGTGTGTGTGTATGCGTGCATGTGTGTGCGCGCGTGCGTACATGTGCGCGCATGGCGCATGTGCATCAGCAGCCATCTCACTTCAAGACATCTCAACTTGAAGCTTACTCATTCTTGTTGCCCTGAGCAAACACTTCCTCAATCATGACAGACCCGAATGCCAAGTACCAAATCGATGCTCCCATTGAGAAGGCCTGCTTCCCCGGTGACGCCCTGGTGACGCTCATGGACCCGGCCACCGGCGGCGTCACCCGCCGCGCACGCATGGACGAGCTGCGCATCGGTGATGCGGTGGAGTGCCTGATGCCAGCGGCGAGGCGGGGGCCGGGGCTGTTCAGGGATAACGAGCAGCGCTACGTGAGGGGCGTGTGCCACGTGTTCAACTACCACGACGTGGACGCGGTGAGTCGCGACAGAGGTTCAATGCTGACTGTGATTTTCCTGTTTTTGGGGGGTGGGGGGCATGCATAAAGGGGCCGCTTGGACTTGCACAGAATGCGCATGTGGTGCGTCATGGTGGTGGTCGCTTGCTTGGACACGGGGATCTCTGGGTTTGGGAGGCGATGAGGAGATTTGGAGACGGGGCGTGGCGCGACTTTCAAGATTCTCGATGCACCAAAATCATGCTTGCTTGTGATCAACCGGGGCCCCGGAGGGTGGCAGGGAGTTTTCGAAAGCTAGTACCACGCCGCGCCTGCATGCCCATTCTCTCCTCCCTTGCGTTCCCCTCCGCCCCTCCCGAGCTCGAGCGAAGGATTGAGATTAGGGTTCAGGATTGTTACAGCGTCCTGCGGTCGCCCGCTCCTGGAGCCATCCAGGCTCATGGGATTTATACAGTAAAGCACCAATGTTGTGTAACTGAGATTCAGGTGGCTGCCGTGCGCCGTTCAAAGCAGGCGTGCACGAAGGCCCCGCTATCACAGCGAAGAGCCCACTATCACAATCACAACGGCGCGGCACCCCCTGACCCCAAGCCTTGGACCCTGAACCCTCGACCCCCCCACACACACACCACCAAAACCCAGGACTCCACCCACTCGTTTGTGGCACTCCACTACACCGACGCCGCCGGCCGCCCCGCCAAGCTGCGCGCCACCAAGGAGCACGTTGTCTACGTCGCCCCCACCAACCTCGGAGCGGCTGACAGCGACGATGACAGTGGCGCAGCGACCGTCACCGAGCTGCCGCCCGGCGGTTTCGGCAGGCGGGCAGACATGGTGGCCGTCGGGGACTTCCTGGCTGTCAAGGGGAAGGAGGAGGGAAGCTTCTTCTACGCGCGCATTGAGGCGATCACCAGGTTTGTGGATGCGCGTGCTGAGTCCATCCATAGTTTTGCATGTGTCTTGATTGGGATCTGACTTTTGCAGGGCTGCTGACTGTGAGTTTGCAGCTGGGGGGCGAGCAAGGCAGGGGCCTCGACACGGCAGCAGGCACAGATGCACAGCGCGTCCAGGGCCGCCCGCCGGCGCGACCGGGAGCGTTCGAATCGAGGGAAGGGTCGCGGCGGGCAGCGAGCGCTGGACGCATGCCCTGTTGGCACTGCGGCACATGGCGGCGACGTTTGATCCAACTGGACACTGGTGCTGCCCCCTAATATCCCAAACCACCATCTTTGGCGGTTGGGAACTGGAGCCGAAGGCCATCCGATCGCAACCCCTTGATGGCCCTGAGATACTTTGCTCCTCCCCCCATCCGGATACTTTCGTTTAATATCCAGGGAGGACCACAGGGGCGCCTACGCCCCCTTGCTCACACACGCCGGCCTGCCCATCGTCGACGGCGCCGCAGCCTTCGCCTGGGCCCACTTGCCGGAGCGAGACCCCCACCCCGCGCAGAACCTCGGGGAGTTCTACAGGTGCGGCGGGCGAGACCTCGATCTGATGGGTCGGCAATCAGTCATGGTTGCACTGCATTGGGTTGCTTGGCCAGCCCGCACCCGGCACTTGTTGCGCACCGGCGCCCATTGTGTACCACAGGGGTGGGTGGATCTGGGTTGACAATCGGGTCTTGATGTGAACGTGTATGTCGAGGGGAGGGTTGCGCCTCAGTCACTGAGGGGACCCTCACGGTGAGATTCAGAAACTCGATGAAGCAAACAAGCCACCCTCTGATGTGCCCAAGATCTGGATAGTATCAACCTTGCTGCCGCGCCACCCCAAGGCCCACAAAAATGTGCTGCTCCCTGAACTCTGCTTGCAACCTCAAAGCAAGGCCCTAGCCGCCCACCATCACACCGACCAACCATACCGGTTGTGGGCTAGAGCTGCCGGCCTTTGTGGCACCCCCCCCCCAAATTAAACCCTCCCCAGCCATTTTTTCAGCCCTCCCGACCGCCCCCAACCGCCCTCAACCGCCCCCAACCGCCAGGCACATCCGCCTTGTGAAGGATTTCAACGACTCCCTCGCCTCTGGCTGCGCCGGCGCCGCCTGCCCCTGCCTCGATGCGCCCGACGACGCGGGACGGCCGTGCGTGCGGCTGGGTGACCGCCTGGCGGACCTGCCAGCTGGCGCGAGCGACTTTGCTGAGAGGTGAGAGAGGATTTCACAGTTCAGGGCCACCATGCCGCCGCGTTCTACTTGGCATTGCTAGGCCGTCGACGACCTCGATTCGCCTTAGAGCCGGGCCGGCGGCGGCGCGTAGTCCAGATGTGTTGTGATTTGCAGCTGGGCGGCCTATTCTCTCGCTGTGTTGACAACGGCCGGGTCCGTCTACTACTTGTTGTGCTTTTTGTTTTGTATGCACATACATATATCTCACATAAGCCCTCATTGACACAACCTTGCTTGAACCTTACACACAACCCGATGACAATCAAACCCAGGACCATCGACGTTTGGCAGAGGGCCAGCTCCGAGGGGCGCACCTTCTGGGACTACGAGCGCGGCATCAAGCTTGGCAGGTTCTGGGAAGCTTCCCGCCTGACCCAGTGGGCGGCGGTCAACCTGCTCAGGCTCAAGCCCCACACGTTTGCTCTGTGGGCCACAGATTTTCTGATGGTCAAGCCAAAAGATGGGACCATCGGATTTGAGCCCGACGGCAACTGGGCGCCCGCCCTGCCCGCCTCGTCTTGATCGCTGAGCGGCAGCGTCCACATTGGAAGCCCCGAGCCGGAAACGTGCGGCTGGCTGCTGGCGCGGCGAGGCGCACAACCACGCGCAGTCGGTTACAAAGCCACTCGCACCCCTCCTTTGACGACACTGGACGACACATTTTTGCACCGCAACTGGCCGCCAGGCGGCCGCGCGCACTGCAATTTGAAGGCACACACACCGTGTATCCAGACGTGCATGCAATCGATCTTGCGGGCTGCTGCTTGTTTGTTTGTGTCGGTGCGTTTGAACGGGCACCAACAACTGTCGCTGGAAATCCTTCGCATGGATTGCACCCTTGACCTTCCGGACCACTGAAACTGATCGCAAACACGAACCCATCTGATTTACGGACGCGCCTGCACAGCAGATGCCTTACCTGATTCCATTGCCGTTGCCTCATGCGTGCGCTGCACACCCATTGGGCCTGGAGAGGAGCAAACAGCACACCCTCGCTGCTTGCAAACCGCGCCGGCCGCCACCACACTTGCCAATGTCGTTTTTGGGGGGTGTCCTTATGCGTGATTGGCTGCACGGCTTGGCGCACGACCCCCATCAGGTTGATGATTTCAAGGCGCGTCTTCCATTCATACTTTGGCGCCGCGAGCGGCCCAAACACAGCACGCCGAGCCTGGTTCCGCAGCCGTTATGCCTACCACCCCTGCATGTGACCGCCACCACTGCCTTCCCATTTTGCCGCCAAGTCACCAATCCCCTCATTCTCGCCGTGCGCGCCTAATCAAATACTGGTTTTCTTCTGCGTATGCCCTATCCTGCATCAATCAATGATCTTGGCCGGCAGGGCGGTGCTGTTGTGACGTCACACATCTCCACGCGGGGCTTGCGAAAATCACCAATATGTAAACCCCTACTCGAGCTACATCAGGATCACATGGACAGGTGTTCAAGGGGGCAGAGAGTGCTAGAAAGAGCCGCGGTGCCTGCCGGCATGGCCATGAGCAGGCGGGTGGGCCCGGGGCTTCAAGAGGGAGAGCGTTGTGGCCTCTACGGCGGCTGGGCAGCTGGCGCAATCAGGGCGGTACAGAGGCAGTACAGCGGGGCCGAGCAGCACAGCCCGTAGCACGTGGAACCCTTCCCCTGCAGCGGGCCTGCCCAACGCGCCGCTTGCCATGTGATTTGAATTCCTCAACCACGCGTCACTTGCGCCACATGCGCATGTGTCACTAGCGGCGCAAGTGCGACTCTATCCGGTGGGTTGTGGTTCTGGTGTTATCTCGAATGTTCGTTAATGCCATGGATCTTTCATGACAGAAGAGAGAGGGCAGCAGCCGCAGTATTTTGAAGCGTTTTGTCGAGGGTCACACATCGGTGACGAACGACTTTCCTCGTACCTGGCATTCTTGTTTAAGGAAACTCTGTTGATAAAAGACATTAGGTATCGTAAGCGTTGGAACAAGATTTCAACAATCTCCGACTTCTTCACACAGTTCGTTCGGCTTGCACACGGTTTCTCTGGAATACCTGTGAACATCGGCATACGAAGCTAGCTTTTGCATTCGATGGCAGCGGCGGCAGTGGTCCCGCCTCCATCGTGGGGCGGCGGCGGGGGCGGCGCGGCCAGCGGCGGCATCGCGCGCAAATGCTGCTGCTCCGGCGCCTCCCCCTGCTGCTGCAAGCAGTCGGCGTACCTCGACCCCACCAATTCGTCGAAGCTGCTGTTCCTGTGCGAGTGCGATTGCACGGACTGCTGCTGCCACGACAGCAGCGAGGACCTCGCCGATAAGGTGCGCCGCTGTGGCCGTGTGAAAATTTGGGTGGCGCGCCGCATGGCGCGCCGCATGCCGCCGTGATCCAGCCACAGAGGGCGGCGGCCGCGCATGCTGTCGCATGCGACATGCGCCCCGAGCTGGGCGGCGCCCGCGCCGCGGCCCCATGCCGAGGGGCCGTGGCTGGCGCCACCGCTACCACTCGCGTCGCGTGGCGCAGCGTGCGCGGTGCCGTTTTGGGGATGCATGCACATGCGCCTTCACCCCTGGATTCATACGCCTTTCCCTCCGCTGCCCCGCAGATCGCCGCCCTCGTGCCCTCCCTCCGCCCCCGCCCCGCCACCGCCTACGCCTGCCGCCCCGCGCGGCCCCCGCGCCCCGCGTCCGCGCCGCCCGGAAGCGCCCTTCGGGGCGCGTGGCGCGGCGCGGCCGAGGCGCTGCTGCGGCGGG